TTTTTTTTTTTTTTTCAGCACGTTTTACCTTCTGGTGCTGAGGGCTCTCCAGATTCATCTTGTGTATACCCCATTCCTAAAAGCAGCCATGTCTCCAAGGAGTACTGCCTGCTTCTTTTTATTGGAGAGTGGCATAGAAATCAAGATCTGGCATTAATATGCATTTCCCCCACTTTTTTCCTGTTCTAGCTATCATGGCTTTGGAATACAGAGGCCATGTCAACAACAGCAGCCTGTTCCAAATAGTGACGCTGTCTTGAATTGCCCTGCCTGCATGACCACACTGTGTCTTGATTGCCAAAGGTAACAGATGTATAACAACATATGTACACACAAAACAAAAACCAACTTGGCAGTCCTCTGTTTAAATCAGAAATAGACTTTTGAGGTACTAGGGAATTCTGATAAAGTTCTGTCCTTATGTATCCTTGGTGCTACTTGACTAATCTTTATGCAGATAATTTTGGTTATTCATAGTTCTGTTGCAAGTAGCTTTTCTAATAAGCACTTGCCAGTGCTGACAAGGATTTAGTGAAACTGCATATATGATGTGACTGACATAATATCTCAAATATACTTTTTAAAATTGTTATAAAATACATGTAACATGAAATTTACTATTTTAACCATTTTTAAAAACTGGTTGCTGAAGAGTACTTCATTTATTATCAGCTACACCAGTTAAAAACATGTAAATCTTTTCCCAGCTTTTCTGATATAATTGACATATAATGCATACATTTAAGGTATACAACATTGATGATTTGATATTTGAATATAGTGCAAAATGATTAGTATAATATTAGTTAACACATTTATCACCTCACATAGTTACTTTTTTTTCCTGGTGGGGACTTTTTAAGATTTACTTTCAGCAACTTTCAAGTATGTAATACAGTATTATTAACTATTAATAGTAAGTTAATTAGTACTATTAACAATATAGTGCTGTACATTATTCATCTTATAACTGGCAATTTATATCCTTTGACCACCTTTACCCATCCATCATCTCTCCTCAACCTCCAATCTACTTGCTTCAGTTTTTTAGATTCCACTTATAAGCAAGATCATATAGTACTTGTCTTTCTCTGTCTGACTTATTTCACTTAGCATAATGCTTTCAAGTTCATCCATAAGATGAACTTGCCAAAGAAATGGCAAGATTTCTTTCTTTTTTATGGCTGAATAGCATTCCATCATATTATGTATGTATGTATATATGTGTGTGTGTACATACATGCACACACACACCCCCATACCCTATTTTCTTATTCCATTCACCTGTTGATGGTCCGTTAGGTTGTTTCCACCTCTTGACTTTTCTAAATAATTCTGCAGTAGGGTTTGGGGAGGAAGACCATAGAGATAAGTGTCATTTTTATTACATACCAAAGGCACAAACTATCAGCATAGTTTATGACTGTTACTGTTGACCTTGATCACCTGGCTGAGGTAGGGATGTGGATATCTCTTTGAGTTAGTGGTTTCATTTCCTTTAGGTATATATCCAAGAAGCAAAATTACTAAATCATGTGGTAGTTCTATTTTTAATTTTTCAGGAGCTTCCATGTTGTTTTCCAGAGTGGTTGCACTAATTTACATTCCCACCAACAGTGCACAAGGGTTCCCTTTTCACCACAGCCTCCCCACCACATGTTATTTCTTGTCTTTTTGATATAACCATTTTTAACAGGTGTGAGGTGATACCTCATTTTGGTTCTGATTTGCATTGCCCTGATGGTTAGTAATTTTGATCATCTTTTCATGTACCTGTTAACCATTGTATGCCTTTTTGGAAAAATATCTATTCAGGTCCTTTCCCATTTTTTTATCAGAGTGTTTGCTTTTTTGCTGTTGAGTTATATGAGTTCCTTCTATATTTTGGATATTAACTATATCAGCTATATGATTTATAAATATTTTCTCCCATTCTGTAGATTGCCTTTTCATTCTGTTGATTGTTTCTTTGCTATACAAAAGCTTTTTACTTTGATGTAGTCCTGCTTGTTTATTTTTGCTTTTGTTACCTGTGCTTTTGGTGTCAAATCCAAAAAATCATTGCCAAGACCTATGTCAAAGAGCTTTTTCTCTTGTGTTTTCCAGTTTTCTATTTCAAGTCTTACATTTAAGTCTTTAATCCATTTCAAGTTAATTTTTCTGAGTGATGTAAGGTAGGGGTCCAGTTTCATTCTTTTGCATGTGAATTCTTGATTTTGCCAAGACCATTTATTGAAGAGACTGTTTTCTGGCTCCCTTGTCAAATACTAGTTGAAGATATATGCATAGGTTTTTTTCTGGACTCTTGATTCTGTTTGATTTGTGTGTCTGTTCTTAATGCCAATCCCATAATGTTTTTATTACTGTAGCTTTGTAGTATCTAGTTTGAAATCTGGAAGTGTGATGCCTCCAGATTTGTTCTTGTTTCTCAGGATGGGCCATTTGGGGTCTGTTGTGGTTCCATACAAATTGTAGAATTTTTTTTTTCTATTTCTGTGGAAAATGCCGTTGGAATTCTGATAGAAATTGCAATGAATCTATAGATGGCTTTGGGTAGTATGGGCATTTTAATAATATTAATTCTTCTGATCCATGAGCACAATATCTTTTATTAGTGTTTTCTTCAATTTCTTGCTTTAGTGTCATAGTTTTTATGTATAGATCTTTCACCTCCTTGGTTAAATTTATTCCTAGTATTTTATTTTGCTTGCTATTGTGAAACAGATCCTTGATTTCTTTTCAGATAGTTGTTGTTAATGTATAGAAGCGTAGATTTTTTTTTGTATTGATATTGTGTCCTGTAACTTTTCTGAATTCATTTATTAATTCTTTTTTTGTTGGAATCTTTAGAATTTTAGACATACAAGAGCATGTCATCTGCAAACAGAGACACTTTTACTTCTTCCTTTCCTGTTTGGATACCTTTTATTTCTTGTGTGATTGCTCTGACTAGGATTTCAGTACTGTGTTGAATAGGAGTAGAGAGAGGGTGGGCATTCTTGCCATGATCCCTATTTTAACCATTTAAAGTGTATAATTTGGGGCTCTCTTGTCCCCTCCTGGAGTGAGCCAGGAGCTCTATTCTCTCACTTTATTTCTAAATAAGCCTGTACCTTGCTCTCCTACCTTGAGTGTTTGTGAAGCTCATTCTTCGGCTTTGTGAACAAGAACCCCAGTATCATCTTCGGGGGCTTGTCTGGGATAACTTTGGAGAAATATCCGTATTTCCTTATGTCAACTGTCTTACAAAGCCATAAAACAATAGAAATGGAACCCAAGATAGATGCGCCCATCTCCTGAGGCCTCTCAAACCAGCACTGATGAAGACCTAACTGCACCCCTCAATGTGTCCCCTCTCAGCATGAAGCAGTCTGGTCGTCATTGCCTTTCCTTAGCAGCAGCTAGGGTCTCCATCTGTAGAGGGGGGATTGAGGCAGGGACCGTGGGTGTAGTCAGAGTAGGGTGAGGGCCTCCGGGAAAAGCAGGGTGGAATATTTACAGTCAGAACAATGTAACAATGGGCAAAGAAGTCCCTACTGAAACTCTGTGCTAAGCATTATGCAAAGTCAAGGAAGGTCACACTAATTCTTGAGGGTAAAGATACAGGCATCTTCAGTGAGATCAGTTAAAGGTCAAAAGGCCAGGAGCAACTTGGCCTGGAATGTTTGAGTGTTCTGCAAGGGTATCAGCATAACCCGTGAGTCTGCTGTCAGCCCTAGCAATCAGACTATGACCCAGCCCACCTTGAGGACAGGACAGGTGGTACAAGTCCACACCCCTAAGCCTTTTTTTTTGATGTTCTCGAAAAATCCTCAACTGCCTATAAAACCCCCTAGACAACGCACCACTATGGGCTCTCTTGTCCCCTCCTGGTGTGAGCCAGGAGCTGTATTCTCTCACTTTATTTCTAAATAAAAGCCTGTATCGTGCTCCTCTAAAAAAAAAAAAATTAAAGTGTATGATTCATTGACATTAACTGTATATACAATATCATGCAGCCATCACCACTATCCATTTACAGAACTTTTTTGTTATTGCTAACAGAAACTACCCATTGCACAGTAATTTCCCATTTTCCAACCTCACCTGCCCTTTCCTTTTCAGATTGTTCACTGCTAGTGTATAGAATATGCAACATATTTTTTTGTGTTGATTTTGTACTCTGCAACTCTGCTGAATTAGTTTATTAATAGTTCTAGTAGTTCTTTTTTTTTTTTGTGTGTGTATAATCTTTAGAGTTTTCTGCATATAAGATCATGTCATCTGTGAACTAGGATAATTTTACTTCTTTCCAATTTGGATGCCTTTTATTTCTCTTACCTTTTGTTCTGATTAGAATTTTGAGGAATTATGTTTAGTACAAGTGGTGAAAGCAGGCATTTTTGTTTTCTTCCTGATCTTAGAGGAGAAATTTTAAGTCTTTCATCGAGTGTGATGTTTAGCTATGTGTTTTTCATATATGACCTTGAGGAAGTTACCTTCTATTCCTGGTCTGTTGGTGTTTTTATCATGAAAGGGTGTTGAATTTTGTCACATGCTTTTTATGCACCAATTGAGGTGGTCATATGTTTTTTTTTGCCTTTTTCTGGTGGCCTTATAAATGCCTAGCTACCCCATGTTCTGAATCAAGTTAACTGAAAGTAAGTGATGGTTTTAAGTGGTTGATTTGTTCTAGGAACTAATGAGAAGCCAGATATAACTTAGTCTTACTAGCTAGTTTGAGGTTTCTGATCACGTGTAGCAATTAATTTTTGTACTCTCAATAGGAACTGTAGCTTTTTAAAGTAAAAATTGATACATAGAGTATATTTATGAAATTAAAAAGTGAAATCCCTTTGTATTTAAGTTTTTTCTCTTCCAAATTAAACCGTGTTAGGGTTCCTATGCTCAAAAGAAGTTGCTTCATAATCTAACAGCAGATATGGGCCTTGGTAAAAATTGTGTTTCATATTAATACAGAATTCCAGTACAATGGAGTAAGAATTAAAATTTTATAGTCTTACCTGAAGAAGCACCAACTTGCATAGTCTAAATTCCTGGTGGTCGTGGTGGTGGTGGTGATGGTGGAGATGAACATTTGGAACTACTGAAGGCATAACTTGAGTTCACTGATAGATAATTTCTGTTGCATGAGGTTTAAGGGGAAGAAAAAAGAAGCAACTCACTAAGTGGGAGAAAGAAGTAGGAAAATCTTAAGTGTAGGAGGAGAATAAAGGAATTGTTGCATATTCTTTAGACTGCTGGAGTAAAGCCAGGAGTGGACATTATAAAGTCAGAAGCTCTTTAAGCTTTTAAAACTATATATAGCTTTTGCTAAAATGGTGACCAGAATAGCACAACCTATAAAAAGAGGAGGGCAGAGTCTCAGGACACAATGAAAAACAACAGTCAAAGATTATTTAAATGTTATCTCTCAAGTTTCCAACAACTTTTCTTGTCTTATAAGTTTGAGGAGCAAATAATTTTTTTTCTGAGATAAAAGTTACTTTTAAAGTAGTAGAAAAGAGGATTATATTCATTCCTTACACTGTTATCTATTAACAAATTTCCTCCTATTCTTAAAGTAGCTCTTAAAATTTTAAATTTCACATTTTGTTCCCATGTCTTTGGTTGGTATTTCAGTAAGTTTTTGATGTTTTCAAATTTATGTTAATGGATAATAGAACATACATCTGAATTCTTCATTTCTTTTCCTCTTAGGCATGAATCATATAAAACTCAATATAGAGCAATGTTTGTGATGAATTGTTCTGTAAACAAAGAGGAGATTCTAAGATACAAAACCCCTGAGAAAAGGAAGAAAAGGAGAGGCTACAAGAAGATGAGGCCTAACCACGAAGATACTGCAGAGCAGGCAGAGACAGAGGGGGAAGAAATCTACCACCCAGTCATGTGCACTGAGTGTTCCACTGAAGTGGCAGTCTATGACAAGGATGAAGTCTTCCATTTTTTCAACGTTTTAGCAAGCCATTCCTAAATAGCTAAGTTGGCATTTAATTACCCAATATTGTATATAAACAAATAAGGAGTTATTTTCCCCCTGCCTGTTCATATCATGTGACATATTCTAAGAGGTTGAGGAAGCAGTGTTTTATCTTTTATCTTTTTCAAAGAGAACGGGTATCAAACTTCATTCCTCTGTCTCCTTTAAAAAAAATTTTCACCAGCTCTGATGGAGCTCCTTATTCATTCCCTTTCTGATGGACATTTGGAAACTGGGGAGCTTTTTATTTATTAAAGCTCTTTAGAATTAAAATGTTCTGGAGTTATAAGTAATCTTTGTTTCAGAGTGTTATTTTCATTTTTATTTTTTATATATCCTTGGTGTGATTAAACTAGGAACTATTTCCTGACTTCTGCCTGTATTGTTTTTGCTAAAGAGGATCTTTATTTCCCTTCCACTAGGAGGGAGGACACTATTTAGTTACTGTTATCATTACACTCAGTTAGTGTAGCTGGGTGCCTTGAGTAACTGACATAGGTCTTTCCCTAAAAGGATGTACAATATTCTAACCTTAATGAGTTAACATAGTAAAACAGAAATTTATGGTGAGGAAGAACCACCTTAGACTTAAAAATCCTGTTGCTGCTTCATGGCTCTACCATTTATTCTGGCACTTATGTTGCCAGCAACCATGGCATGTGTTTTTTTTTCTTCTCTCGCTATAAATACTGTAAAAATCATTAATGGCAGCTTGGAGGAAATTGCAAGGAGGAGTGGGCATCTGTACATTTAGCTTTTTAAAAGAATGGTATGATTGGACTGTTTCCAAAAACAGTATTAGGAAACTCAGGGTGCTCTTGTTACTGTGATAGAGTGGAAAGAAGTCAGGAAATATGCTTTAGTTCAGGCTCCACCATGCTAATCTTGGGCAAGTTTGTTTCTTTGAGTCCCCATTTTTTCATCTATAAAATGAAAAGATTGGACTAGAGCTCAAGGCTCAACAGAGCTTGAGGGGGACCTCTACATACTCCTTTAGAGAAGGCTACATACACCTCCAGAAGAGAAAATGTGTCCTTTTTACAACCTGCTTTCTGTACTTTTTAAAGCTATATGTAAGGAGAGCTGTAACAGTGGTGGTGTGTTTGTACAGATTGGTGGAGGCAGAAAGATGATCAAGAATTTGCTTCTAGGAATTTCCAGTGTCTTAATAGCATACTTGGTAATTTTTATAATATGCTGATATCTCTCTGATTGGAAACATATATATATATACCTCTGGATGTTTCAACATATTGCCAAGTGATACGTTACAGAATAACAGTACTAGTCTATTTTTTTAAATCTTGTATTTGTCATATAGTTTTGCATGATCTCTCTACCTTACTGTCATTGCAAATGCTACTTTCTCCCAGATCCCACAACCATCTCTCCATTGTATCTGTATTTCCTTATCAGTGGGAGGTTCTCAATAATCATATGTAAGATCATCTGGAGCAGATTTTAAAAAAGCATAGTGTTGGGTCCCTCAGAATGTGACTCAATAATTAAAACGAGGCAGGAAATCAGTGTATTAGGATGCAGTTTATGATAATAATAACATAAAGGAGGTGGACAGAACTATGTAAGACACAGTTTTGTATATTTATGAAGCTAAAGTCAAGCTAATTTGTTAGAAATCTAAGATGACAATTGTATTTCCAGGGTAACCATGAAGATTTTATAATAAGAAAATGCAAAGTAATCCAAGAATAAAATATAGCATATTTAAGAATTATGAAACACAAAACTATACAGCTATTTTTTTTTATATCCTTTTAACTTAAAAAAAATCCTTAAAATACAACTTAAGTAAATTGGTGGTGAACACTGTTTTGGCTTGAGGCAGATAAGGCTGTGACAGTTTTCCATCTCAATTTTATTGCACAGCTTTGAATATGTTTTCTGTTATTTTCTTAGAATGCTATCTACAGTGTGATTACATTCAGATTCAACAATCAATAGTGCTTTTCAGCATAGCCTTCTTACATTTTATAGTTGTAAATGTTTTTTCTCTTAAACAGTTACACATGAACCTTTAAAGGACCACTTGTGGCCTTAATCTGCCCCAATTCCCTTTTTAAATGAAGTAGGTATTTAATATTTAAATGATATTTAAATAAACATGTGGGCCTGGAGCTATGGTTTGGTGATCCCACTGAAACTAATTGTTCTTTTTCCTGATCAGCGCAGCTCACTGTATTAGTTTTTATTGCTGTGTAAACAAATGGCCACAAATTTAGTGGCATAAAATAACATGTATTTATCATCCCATAAGCTGGGCACAGCTTAGCAGTGTCTTGTGCTTAGAGTCTGTGAAGGTTGTAATCAAATTGTTGGACTCGTTACATTCTCATCTGAATGGTTAATGGGAAGATTCTACCTCCAACCTCCCTTAAGTTGCTGACAGAATTCACCTCATGCTTATAGAACTGAGGTCACGGTTTTCTTGCTGGTTGTAAGCCAGGAGCTGCTCTTAGCTCCTAGAAGTCACTACCTTTAGATGTGGCCTCTTGCCTCTAGATGTGGAAATACACACAGCATTAAGTCTTTTGCTTGTTAGATCTGTCACTTACATTTCAAAGGTTCCAGGATATGTCTGTGTTTGGCCTGTATTTCCCTGTGTATCCTGGAAGCAGACTGTACTTGCTTCTTAGCTCCTCACCCTCCTAACCCTGGAAACTTTGTCCTCACAACTCCCCAGACCTCCCTGCAGGAACCACTGCCTCAAGCTCTCTGAAATGTATCAGTGATTTGGAACTAAAGAAGACAGGCACGGAATGGAGGGAGAAAAGGGAAACCCTACCTTGTGTCATATCAACCATTAAGATGCATCCACATCCAGTGTTGAATATTTTTCATATAAAACTTTTTGAATAGATTGTTTTTGAAATTTGACTGTATCAACTCATGTATGATTTGGTAATAGTTTTTTAAGAAATCGTGAGTACATGGGAATTCTTGAGAAATGCAAAAATTAATGTACTAGTCATTTAAAGATGTAATGAAATTTGTATTTATTTTAAATTTAAAAATTAATGTTTATATATGAATTTGCTTAAACATCTCTTAATTTTATAGTTTTATTTTCCTATGTAGAACTAGTACCTGCTCTTCCCCTGTCCTTTCCCTGCCCAGATCTCAGACATTTTCCTGTGCATTTTCTTTCCTGGGAAAGTTGTGGACTCTGGGCATTCTGCCTACAGTACCAAATGGATAAATTGGTTTCATTTGAGTCTTTCAGTGAGGGGACAAAAGGTTGGCAGCAGTTTACCAACATTCCATACTAGGATAATTAAGCAATTTCAGTAATTCTTATCAGTATGACAGATTTTACTGTCTTTTAATAAATGGTCTATGGAAGTTAGGGGAAGTACAGGAAAAATTTTCTTCAGACTAAAGCAACTCTAGGCAAAGTACTTTTCATTTAGATTGGCATATTCATTTGCTAGGGCTGCCCTAACAAAATACCACAGACTGGGTGGCTTAAACAATAGAAATTTGTTTTCTGCTGTTTCTGGAGGCTACAAGTTAAAGGTCAAAGTGTCAGCAGGTTTGGTTTCTTCTGAGGCCTCTTTCCTTGGCCTGTAGATGGCCACGTTCTGGCTGTGTCTTCACATGGTCTTTCCCCTATATGCACATATGTCTGTGTCCTAATCTCCTGACAAGGATACCGTTAGTCGATTAGGGCCTCTCTACAGGACCTCATTTTACCTTACTTGGTTCCTTAAAGACCCTATCTCCAAGTGCAGTTACATTCGGAGGCATTGGGGGTTAAGACTTCAACATACGAATTTTAGGAGGATACAATTAAGCCCATAACAATTATCATCCTTTATCTTATGAAATAAGCAAAGTTGATGATAAACACATTTTGATTAAGGCGAATGTTATTTCCCCCTGTGTTTCAACTGGAATATCTTTTTTTTCCCTCCACTATGAAGCCTATCAATAGTGGGAGTAAAATCTTAAGCTATAAAGTGGGAATACTTTTGAAGAATTTCTCAGTACCCTCCTGATCCTCTCCCCAAATCTTTTTTTTTTTTTTAAATTGTTTTTCCCCAGTCCTTCCTTAAACCATGAGCATACCTTCTAGGTAGAGAAAGTTACCCCATTCCATTTGGGTAGCTTCTATAATGTGGCTCATTTTCCCCTTTTGCCTGAGTTATCAATGAACTCTTCTCCCTCCACTTCAGGCCCTCCCTTCTTTTTTTGATTTTTCTCCTTCCCTTTCCTTTCCAGTGTCCCTGTGTGCTAAGGCCTAGAGATACAAAGTAAGAAGAGGCACAATGTTCTTTTTTTCATGTAGTTCTACTGTCTAGTCGGAGCAGGCCTTAAAAGCATCAGTTACAGATAATTAACTGATAGTTGGGTCTTGATGGGAAAGTAAGGTGTGTAGCATCTAGAAGAGGGTGAATGTGTATGTTTGTGTTTTAAATTTAAGTAGAGCTTGAGAGGACCTAAGGAAGAGACATTTGAGCTGACGTGTCCATTAAGGAGAGTTTTTTTCTTACTATTTATTTATTTTGCTGTAATAAACATTGGTGCTATGGGCAGTCCTACACATATTTCTTGATGTGTATTTGCAGAAATTCTTAGGATATAAATCTAGGAATGGTAATGTAGTATATGTGAAAATTCAGTTTTCAAGGTAGTGCTGTTTTCCATAATAGGTATACCATTTTATACACCCATGAGGAAAACAGAATAAATCCCATTTAAGAATCTCCTAAACTTTTCCTAAGAATCTTCATTCTTGCCAATACTTACCAGATTTAATTTTGACCAATTTAAAGGGTTGAAAACAATTTTTCATTGTGATCTTAATAATTTATCTCTGTCTTATCAAATTTCCAAATATGTATACATCTACTACTGGGCTCTCCATTCTGTTTTATTGGTTTGTTTGTTCTATACTGTTCCTTACTATATAAGCCACCCTGTTATATTTTAGAATCACTTGTCAAGTTCCATGCAACTATGTTGAGATTTTAATTGGCATATCATTTAATCTTTAGGTTATTTCAAAGAAATTGACATCTTTATAATATTGAGTCTTCTATCAATGTATATGATTCTATTTTTCAGTGTAGTTTTATGAATTTTTACATACCACTCTTATGTATCCTTTAAAAATATTTATCCCTAGGTAACTAATGATTTTTATTACTCATTTAATGGTATCGTTAAGAAATTACTTTCTGATTTTGTTGTATAGAAATGTAATTGCTTTTTTACTTCTTTTTTCTCTTAGCTTTTTATTTTGAAATAATTACAGATTTACAGAAAGTTGCAA